CGGGAGGCGGGCGGGCCGGGTCCCGCCCCGGTGTGTCACGTGACCGGAGTGCGGCGCCACCGGGGGTCTCCACCCGCCCCGACCTCGCGGTCCCTGCGATGTCCCGGGACGCGGGACGCAGAGCTGGCGAGCGGCCCCGCCCACCGCGGCGTCCCCGGACTGGCAGGGCTCTCCGCGTCCTCTCCCCCTGCCTGCGGAGCGGGGAAACTGAGGCAGGCAGTCATCCCACCGACCGCTCTGAGCCCTGCGGAGTCGCAGGGTGGGCAGCCCTCCCTGGTTTTCCAGGGACGCACTGTCGCAGCTGCCTGCGACCCGGGGCTACAGGAACGGGCCCGGCGTGCACCGGGGTGAACGAGGACGGAAGGGGACCCCACTACTTCCAGCCCTGGGAGCCCGTCTGACCTGGAGTTGCCATGCTGGGGACCTCCAGCCTCAGCAGAGGACCCCTGGGAGGACAACTACCCCTTTCAGGGCAGGCCCCAGCTGACCAGCGAGGTGCTGCTCCTTCATTAAGGTGGCGAGCAGAGCCCCCACTGCTGTCTGTCAGTGAAGAAAGAGCCTCAGGGGTTCTGTCGTCGGGGGAGAAGCTGGACTCTGCAGCCCGGGCCTCTCAGGCAGGACCAGCACCTCCCAGGAGTCCCCAGGAGCCTGGGGGCAGAGTCCATGCGGCCAGTTATGTGGCTCCCCACAAGGTGTAGGCCTCTACCCCTCTTGGTCAGAGAGCCCAGGCCGGGGGTGAGTGGTCCTGGGGTGACAGTGCTGCAGTGGGCGCCTCCCCCTGGAAGCACACAGCGCAGGTCCAGGGAGGACCAGGTGACGCTGGCTAGATGCTGCGGGCTGTCCCCCACCACCACTCGTCCCCAGGGGTGTGGGAAGGTCGCAGGCAGCAGCTGGCCCACAGCCAGGGCCCTGGGGACAGGCACTGCATGTGCTGGGGGCTCAGAGCAGACTCAGTCCAGGCCACTGAAAAGTTGATTTCCGTCCTCTAGTCGGGTTTGTCTGAAGCAGAGAGGCCACATGGGTCCCCTCCCTGAACACGAGCCAGGCCAGGCCCAGCAGGTACTCAGAGGTAAAACAGCCCAAACCTCCTCCTACCACAGCATCGGTCCCCACACAGCCAGGGTGGCCGAGGAGGAGCAAGGTTGAACACCACCCCTGCTGTTTCACCCTCAGGTCTCAGCCCTCACACCCCAGCCTAGTGCATGCTGGGTCTCCCACAAGACAGAGTGGGCCTCAGTGGGCAGTGCAGGGCCCAGGGCCACCCAATCTGAGGCCTGTGTCCCCACAGACTGGGTACCCTGGGGCCAGAATCAGGGCCTCTCTGTCCTGTCCTGGCCACCGGCACTCAGCAGTCGCAGCTCCTCGGCCCAGACCCACAGGCTGGGCAGGCCAGGCCCTGCCCCCCTCCAGCCCCTGTAGTGGCAGGCCTGAAGCCAAGCGTGTGTGTGTGCATGTGTGAACATGTATCTGCATGTGTGTCTGTATTGTGCATGTGTTCATGTATGTGTGCACATATGTCTGTGTCGTGTATGTGTGCACATGTATCTTCATGTGTTTATCGTCTGCATCATGTATGTGTGTGTGCATGTGTCTGTATATGTGCATGTGTCTGTGTCATATATATGTGTATCTGTGTGCACATGTATCTGGTGGTGTGTATGTGTGTGTCATGTATATGTGTGCGTGCACATATGTCTGCATGCGTGTACATGTGTCTTCATGGTGCATGTGTGTGCATGTGTCTGTGTGTGCATGCATGTGTCTGCATTGTGTTGTGTGCGTGTGCACATGTATCTGCATGTGTCTGCATGGTGCATGTGTGCGTGCATGTGTATTGCAGAATCAGGGGCCTTTCACTGTGTCCCCCTCATCCCTCTTTCCC